TTCAAAGAGTAAATTCAAAGTATGAATTCAAAGTATAAATTCAAAGTCTGAATTCAAAGTGTAAATTCGAAGTGTAATTTCAAAGTATAAATTCACAACATGAATTCAAAGTATAAATTCAAAGTACGAATTCAAAGTGTAAATTCAAATTCAAAGTGTAAGTTGGAAGTGTAAGTTGGAAGTGTAAGTTGGAAGTGTAAATCCAAAGTTATCTCAGCTTTATTTGGTGCCACGCACAGAGATCCCAAAGCAGCCGCGTCTCACTCCCGGGGAACTCACACGTAGTCGCTCAGCCTGTACCCGCCGTGGGAAGCAGATGTCAGGGAAGAGGGATGGTTTCCCTTGTAGGCAGCCGGTGGCCTGGAGGAGGGAGCGATCCGGAGGCTGCCGGGCTGGAAAGGCTCCCCATCCCCATCCCCACGGCACCGGCACAGCAACGCTCCCCCCAGCACCGTCAGCACCGCCGAGGCGAAACCCAGGTACAGCGCCTGGCCCGGCTCGTACTTCATCCCACCGGGAAGCACGGGGCTGTAGAAATCCGTAACCACCTCGTTGGTGCTCCAGGACACGGGCACCAGGCAGAGCAGCCCGGCCACCACGAACACGGCGCCGCCGGACGCGGCTCCGGAGGCCTTGGCGGGGTTGCCCTCGGCGCAGCGGGTGCAGCGCATCCCCAGCACGGCCACCCCGCAGGCCAGCGCCGACAGCGAGCAGGACAGCACCATCATGGCACGGGCGGCCCGCAGGTCGGGCGGCAGCGCCAGCTGGGAGCGGTGGGATCGGCACTGGAAGGCGCCGGTGCTGTGCCAGGCGCACTCCATCCACAGCCCCTTGGTGTAGGACACGGCCGTGACGATGTTGGCACCCACGTGGGCCGTCCGCCACCAGTGGGGCAGGAGGGTGGCAATTAGTGTCCCAATCAGGCCCAGCAGGCTGAGGGAGAAGCCAAGCAACTCCAAAGCTGAGCTGGCCATGTTGATGTTTGTCCTGCCTGCTCCTCTTTAATAAGGCGGCTCCGCTCGGGTTCCTTCGGAAAACACGGGCTTTTCTTGGAAGATGTGCAGCTGTTTTGCTTTGACGCCTCCTGCCCTCCTAATAAAAGGTAATTGAGGGAAAAAGGAGTTAATTATTACCCAAATGCATCCCCTCTCCGGCCGGTGAGGCGCATTCCAGGTCCGGTTAGTGCAATAATTAGCATGGTTATCGCTGTTAATCGTACTTTTGTGGAAGCAATGGGAAAAGCTGAGCTTCCCTCCCCGCTTATATAAACAGCCTTCCTGCTGCCCGCTGGGAAGAGAACTCAAGACAATTTATGAAATGGGAAAAAAAATATTTTAAATGCAAATATTCCCCTTCCCAGCAGACTCTTCAAAAAAACAAACACGATTTCCTTTCTGAAGCGGAGAATTAGGCGGTGTTAACACTTGGAACGAGGGAGATTTATAAAGTAGGGAACTGCAGGTTGCTCTACCCGACAAAAACATTCCCAGAAGGTCATAGCAGGACTAGGAAAACAATAAGAGTGTATTTGCTCAAAGTAGGGAGCAAAGAGAGTGATTTAAAACCTGTGGAAGAGGATAACAAGTATTGGATTAAAGTCGCTTTCCCGGCTTGCCAGTATTTCTTGAGGTTGCATTTTAATAAAGCAGCTCAAAGAGGAATAATTTTCATTGGTGTCTGTGGAGTTTCAGCTTATGATTTTAGGTTGTGGGTGAAAGGACAGCATGTGAAACCAGATGTACGTCGTGGAGCTTCTGAGGGGCAACACCTTTGGTCATGTATAAATTCAGGTTGAAAAACAGGGAACAGGAACTCTTCCTCCTGCATAAATCGCAGATTAAGGGGTCTTTTCCAATGGCTGCCTCGCAAGGTCTGTTGTACATCATGCATTATGTGTGTGGGCAGAAACCTGATATTTTAGTATGTAAAATAACTATTGCATCAAAATCCATCTTGGAATTCAGGAAGAGGAACAAATTTGGGCTCCGATCCTGCCAAGGCCGCGCATGTGCTGGACTCGTGTTCGCAGCAGAAAGTGTTTGCAGGGCTCGGCCTCAGCAGGCAAAGGGAGGAAAACCATCTGGCCAAACTAATGAATGCCCTTGGAACAAGAGAATGAGGCACAAGGAGCAAAGTGGAAGCTGGTTTAACTTCCCATTATTTCACTAACGAAGCAGGAGAGCTTGGGATGGGCATCAGTGCCAAGGTTTGTCTCCAACTGTTGTCCCAGAATGCACCAATCTCTGCCTGATGACAAGATCCTGGAATCATGGAATGGTTTGGGTTGGAAGGGACATTAAGGCTAATTAATTAATTAATCTAATTCAAATCCCCTGCCGTGGGCAGGGACACCTTCCACCAGCCCACGTTGCTCCAAGCCCCATCCAACCTGGCCTTGGACACTTCCAGGGATCCAGGGGCAGCCACAGCTTCTCTGGGCAACCTGGGCCAGGGCCTCCCCACCCTCCCAGCCAGGAATTTCTTTCTCATATTTAATCTAAACCTACTCTCAGTTTGAATCCACTCCCGCTTGTCCTGTCACTGCACGTTCTTGTAAAAAGTCTCTCTCCAGAGTCTCATCCTTCTTGTAAGATGGGGGAGTCTCCTCCCCAAACAAATCAGAATCTGCCTTGGACATCGTGCCAAAAGAAAGGGAAAAATTGAAAAGCACAGGGATTTTATGGGCTAGGCAGGACAACACCATGGGCTGAGGGTCTTGTACTACGTTCCTTTTATTTGAAGTGTGTCTGCTGTGTGCAGACATAGGATGGGGAGTAATGGGATGTTAGACAGGATGTGCAAAGAAGTTCCCAGAAGAAAAGAAAATAAGAGAAACCCCAAAGTCCAGCTTTCCTGGTTTTAGGGAGGATTTTTCCTACTGTTATGTCTTTCTGGCCTTTCAGGTACTCTTCACATAACACTTAAATGAAAACAACTGAGTTTGTGTGGTTGTTGGAGTAATTTGCCCCATTTGCAAACAGAGAGACAAACGCAGAGGGGTTTATATCCAAAGTCATTTTTCCAGGTGGATTCCATGGGGTCTCTCTGCAGTTTGCCAGGGAAAAGCAGGCTGTAGATTTCCCTCAGCTGTCACAGGGTGTCTCGACATGACAGGGCCCAGGTTAGGGCCAAGCACAGCACAAAGGAACACAACAAAAGTAAGCAAATGCTTAAGGCAGCCCTGGAGATATTTGATTTCTGTTCCAGAAGTCCTCAATGGTTGTTTGCCTTCTGGATTGTTTGGTTTTGTTCACATATTAAGGGAAATCAAGCAGTATTTTTCATTTTTATATTCCTGATTGTTTCCCGTGAAGACACATCGTTGTGAATAAGAGAAATTATCCTGGTCACCCTCCTCCAGGATCAGGGATATCTAGACCTGGCTCTGGGGCACAGCAGGATGATGAGGGACCTTCCCAACCAAGCTGGAAAAGGAGTTTGGATCTCCTGTGTCCCTAATTCCAGCACCACCTTTCACTGCCTGCTCAGTGTTTCCCATTCCCTCTGTATTTTTCCCTGTTCATGACTGCAGGTGAGGACGACCTGAGATGATCCTCTCTCCACTTGCTCATCCCACACATGATATCCACGTGTTGCCCACCATCCAGAGGAGTGCTCCAGGTTCCTCTTGCACTTTTGCAATCAGGCTTTCAAGGTCAGACACGAGGCTTTGCAGCCTCATCCCGGGGAGAACGGGATTTAAAAGGGAAATGTGATTTACACTGCAAGTCATGGGAAATGGCCCCCCAATGCAATGGAGGTCAGAATACTCTGGGGCTTGGCAGCAGCTATTTTTAGCTGTCATTAAGGTATTATTTTTAACCATTTTAGCCATTAAAAGCTTTCTAATTTAAGAAACCACTGTTAATTAGCCCCACTCGCTCGGTGTCATGTTTTCCACGTGCCTTTCTCAGCAGTTTCCAGCTGCCCCTGGTGCTCAGTGCCACTCCCACAGCCTTACCCTCCTTGATGCCAAGTGGCAAAACCAGCAGCAACTTCACACATTTACCTTCAGGAACATCAGCAGCCTCGTGAAAATGTCTCACCTTCCAGCTCTGCTCCCAACAGCTCGGACGAGGAACCGCAGAGGGATCAGGTTTGGTGTTTCTTGTGGGCTGACCTGGTCAAACACAAAACAATACAAAACACAAAAAGCCTTTTTTTTTTTTTTTTCCTGCATGGGTTGTGTTTGTTAATTTTTTTTTTTTAGAAATTGGGCAAATTTTGCTTTCTCACTCGAGGGTCGGGTTCTTCTCCCACGGAACCAGCGACAGGAGGAGAGGGAACAGCCTCCAGCTGTGCCAGGGGAGGCTCAGGAGGAGGAATTTGTTGCTGGAAAGGGTGGTCAGGCCTTGGCAGGGGCTGCCCAGGGAGGTTTGGAGTCCCCATCCCTGGAGGTGTCCAAGGAAGGCCTGGCCGTGGCACTCAGTGCTCTGGGCTGGGGGACAAGGTGGGGATCAGGAACAGGCTGGACTCCATGGGCTGGGAGGGCTTTTCCAACCTCAGTGATTCTGTAATTCCATGAACCAGAGCCAGCCTTCCTAGGGAAGTGAAGATGGCATCAGTCTGGGATAAAAAACAACCAAAAAAAAGAGACAGTGTCCACATGAACCTTCATGACCTTCAAAGCCCACCTAAGCAGTGAGTGACTGCAAAATGAAGTGACAATTTGTGAAGGGAAACTCCGAAACTCTTGAATTTCCTTGCTCTGCCAGGTCACACCAGCTTTATTTTTACAAGCACAAGGGCTGGAAACACAACTTTTCCATACAAACTCTGGTTTTGCCTGATGCCTGTGTCGTACAGGACCAGCCCTAGCCGGGATAAACCCTTGGTTGTACTTTCCACAGCTGCGACAGCCTTGGGAGACACGGCTCCAAAGTAAGCTCCAAATAAACAGCGGAGACTGATGTCACTAATCTGGGTATTTACCCAGGATTAAATAACAGATGCATGTTTTACTGCTGTCTCTTTCATTGTTTCTCATTTTACTGTTTCCCCACCCGTATCAGTCTTATCCTTTTGCTGCCGCTCCTTCCGAGCCCTTTCTCCAGACCTCGGAATTGCCGCTTCTCCTGAGGGCTGTGACCGTGGTGCGTCTCCTCCCCTGGGCTGCAGGAGGTTCTAATCTGGGTTTTAATCCGGTAATTTTGGTATTTTCCCTTACCAACTTATCTTTTAACTTCAGCACCTTCTAATTCCGCACCGATTCCCTCAAAAAACTCCGGAAATCCGTTTCGACCTCTGCTCCGGGAGGGCAAAGTGTTGTGATGGGATGTCCCTTCCAGATATCCCTACCAGCTGCAGAATAATGGACCTCAGCTGAGCCAGGCTTCTAAGTATACACTCATTTTACCTTTTTAATTAATTTTATTTGATAATTCTCACACATCCTGATTAATTCATGTTTCGGTGCCAGCTGGATCAGACCTTTAAGGTGTGCTCAGGTGGCAGCTTTGCCTGGTAGGTGAGTGAGGTTCCACACACTGACACTCTGAGTTCAGCTGGTTCAACTTCACAGGCCCTCAATCCTGCTCAGATGTTTTTAGGGGAAAAAAACTTTGACTGGTAAGAAGAGCTCCCTTCTTGTATGTGGGCGAGGGAGGGCAGATCTGAGGGGGAATAAGGCCCTCCTGGCTCCCAGCAAAATCCTTCTCTTTATTTCCCCCCCTCCTTATTTTATTTTTTTTTTTTTTGAAAGGGAAGATTAGGGAATCAATAAAAGCTTGAAAGGCACATTGTAACCAACCCTGATCCTACACCTACTCCCACCCCCTCTCTGTGAAACGAGAGGGGCTGACACGGATCAGAGCAGCTGCTGCCCTGCCAGATGTGCAGGAGGAGCCTTAACCCCTCCTCAGATCCAGGGAGCCTCCAGGACCTTCCCTGTGGCTCCACAGGGTTGTCACTGGCCTTGCACCACCTCATTGTTTCCTCCTGCATGCACAGGACCCTCCTGATGGGTGCTAGAGCAGCTTTTTGGGTGTCTTGTCTTGGCTGTGGGTGCTGCCCTTCATTTC